GAGTCGCCATGATTCTCCCGCTCCAGACAGACGCAGGTTAAGATCCTCTCTGGTAAGCCAACTCATGGGCTACACAGAATATTAGAAATGGGTTAGAACAATATGTAAGAGCTAGCCAATAAGAAACTGGGAGCCGGGCCAGGCAGTGTTTGAGAGAATACAGTTTCCGTGTAATTATTTCTGGGTATAAACTAGCCATGCGGGCGGCCAGGTGCCGGGGACGCAGCCCTGCCGCTCCTATTTCAACACAACAACATAAAACATGCTGCTCTTGCCAGGCATCACCCAGCAACAGCACCAGTGAGCAATGCCAGAGGTGTGCTCTGTGATGGTGGTGGAGCCAGCCAGAGGAGTGATGGTGGTGGTCACGCCCCAGAGCTGGCCAGAGGGGTGCTTTGTGATGTTTTTGTTTGTTTGTTTGTTTTGGTTTTGTGAAACAGGATTTTTCTGTGTAGCCCATGACTATCCTGGAACTCACTTTGTTGACCAGGCTGGCCTTGAACTCACAGAGATCTACTTGCCTCTGTCTCCAAGTCCAGGAACCCAAGGTGCACCCCAATGCCTTGCTTAGCTCACTGAGTCTCTAGCCTTTTTTTTTTTTGTTGTTGTTGTTGGTATACTCACTGGTTATATAACTTAGAAAGGTTTTAAAAAACATCAGAAAAGATATACATATTGTGTTCACTGTTATTGATTGTCAACTTGACCACATCTGGAATTAACTAAGACTCAGGTGGCTGGGCACACCCATGAGGGATTTTTCTTAAATCATTGAAGTGGGAAGCCCCACCTTTAATCCTGGTCTTTTGAGGTGGAAACATCTACCTTTAATCTGGGTCACACCTCCTGCTGGAAACCTATATATAGGACATGGATGACGGAAGCTTTAGCTCTTGGCCTGCTTGCCCTCACGCTTGCTGGCAAGTTCAGCCCATCACTGGTATTAGAGCCTCCTTCTTCAGGATCCCAGTGTATACTGAAGACCAGCTGAGACATCCAGCCTTGTGGAATGAGCAGCTACTAGATTCTTACACTTTGTATTGGTAGAAAGTCATTGTTGGAATAGCTGGATGGACCACAGACTGCAAGCCACTCTAATAAAACCCTTGTGTGTGTGTGTGTGTGTGTGTGTGTGTGTGTGTGTGTGTGTGATCATTCCGTTGGTCCTGATCCTCTAGAGAACCTTGACTAATACACATACATATATGCACACATTTCTCCCATATTCTGCTTATAATAAGCCCATGAAAAAACTGTAACAAAATCAGCTAGAGGTCGCCTTTCTTCGCTCACCTTCCTTAGCAGCCGAATTGCCTTTCTGAGCTCGCCTTTGGCAAAACAGATGCTGCCCATATTATAAAAGGTCTCAGCTACTTTTTCACCACAGACACCATAGATGCCAGAATTCAGTGTACACATTAGCAGTCTGTAAGCCTCCTAGGGAGTAAAAAATCAAAATAAAATTAGCCATGTCTATGATGTGGGTATGACGAAAGGTCCTTTTCCCCCACGATGACACAATCAGTCAGGAGCAGTCAGTGATGATGACTCACCCAAGTACTCTATCATATGCTGAATTAATGTTCCCGCTGATAATTAATACCAATTAATTCACATACGCAGTACCAGCTAGTCTTCACGCTGTTCTATGGGATGGGAGCTTTCGCTGTGCTTACTTTACAGAATGGAAAGAGGACTAATGAAAGCTCAGCTCTTTCTCAAGATCGTTTTGATCACAGAGTAGGATTCCATGCCAACCTAAATTCCATGGCCCCGACTTATTGTTTCTTCCACTTTTTAAACTTTCAGAAAAGCCCCCAAAATTTCAGACTCATAAAATTTCTACCTAAATTCACAGTGTTTCCCATTTCTCCAAATTTATTTTATTGCTACTGTCTTAGATATATGTATATATGAAAATGAGTACATATGCACATATTGTTATTGAAAATCAGTTGTAAGCCGGGCGGTGGTGGCGCACGCCTTTAATCCCAGCACTTGGGAGGCAGAGGCAGGCGGATCTCTGTGAGTTAGAGGCCAGCCTGGTCTACAAGAGCTAGTGCCAGGATAGGCACCAAAACTACAGAGAAACCCTGTCTCAAAAATCAAAAAAAAAAAAAAAAAAAAAGAAGAAGAAGAGAAAGAAAGAAAGAAAATCAGTTGTAGACACTGAGAAACTTTACTCTTAAATATTGAACCCTCTGTCTTCTGAGAGCAGGACTATATATAACATACCATTGCCACTCTAAATGTTACACGGATACAATACTATCAACCAAGCATGTAGATTTTCTAATTGTTTTAATGTTATATATAATTTTAAGAGGAGGAAAATGTCTGATCATAGTTTGCACTTTTGTTTTTGGGCTTCTTCTCCGTAACAGTTCTCCCCTCCCCTTTCTCTTCTGTACCATTGACATTTACGACAATCCAAGCCACTTGTCTTCAGTACAGTGTCTCCCTATCTGCTTGCTCCACGGCAAAGTGTTCAGTGTGGACCCAGAAGCCACTCCTCATGTCAGTTGTCTGCATTTGCCTTTCTGATATTTTGTCTTTTTAAAAATCTTTAAAATGTAATTTTTAAATTAGTGTATAAAGTTGCAGGTTTCCATGAAATTCAGGTGAATTCTGCACACACACACACACCTGCTGTCTACACACCTCCCTTCCTTCCAGTCTTCTTTCATCCTCCTCCATTTCCTTTCCCTTTCTTTAACCCCCGTCCCGGTGTCATGGGTCCCCTTCTAATTTCCCAGGCTTTAGTCATGTTTACTCGCACCTGAATACACTTTTTCTCTTTGGAAGCTGCTTTCGTTGTGCCTGGCCTGAAACTTGCTATGTAGACCAGGTTAGCCTGATAGAGCTCTGCTTGCCTCTACCTCCCAGAGCTGGGATTAAAGGCCTGTGCCACCATGCTGAGCCTGAATATACAAACTTACTGGAGGTTAGGATCCACATGTGAAAAGGGACATTCGGTGTTTGACCTTCTGAGCCTGGGCTACCTCCTTGAACAGTGGTTCTCAACCTTCCTAATACTGTGATCCTTTAACACAGTTCCTCATGTTGTGGTGACCCCCAAGCCATAAAATTACTTTCAGTGCTACTTCCTAACTGTAATTGTGTACTGCTATGAATTGTAATGTAAATATTTATGCTTTCTGGTGGTCTTAGGTAAACCCCATGGGAGGGTTGTTCCATCCCAAAAGGGATCGAGACCCACAGGTTGAGAAATGCGTCCTCATACTACAATACTTTCCATTTCCACCTCTTTCAGAAAAAGTCTTTCTTTTCTTTCCTTCCTTTTTTCCTTCCTTTTTTCCTTCCTTTTTTCCTTCCTTCCCTTCTTTCTTTCTTTCTCTCTCTTTTTCCTTCCTTTCTTTTCTTCCTTCCTTCCCCCCTCTCTCCCCTCTCTCTCTCTCTCTCTCTCTCTCTCTCTCTCTCTCTCTCTCTCTCTCTCATTTTCTAGACAGCTTTTCTCTTTGTAGCCTTGACTGTCCGGAACTCACTTTGTAGATCAGGCTGGACTTGAACTCACAGAGATCCACCTGTTTCTGCCTCCCAACATCTTTCTTTAACCCACTGATTAAATCTCACTGTACCACACATCCATCCATGCTCGGTGGATATTCAGGCTGATTGCACTTCCTTGCTATTGTGAAACAAATAGCAATGAAGGCAGATATGCCGGTATCTCTGTAGTGGGACAGGAAGACCACTTCTGGGCAAATGGCTGGGTTGTGCGGCCGTTTTAGTTTTACATTTTTGAGATGCCGCTACACTGATTTCTACCAACAGTAGACAAAAGGGTTCCTCCTTCAACATATCACTGCCAGCATTTGCCGCCATCTGTTCTCTTAATTTCTAGAAATTTCTTTTCTTGATTTTCTAGCCGTTCTCACTCAGGTGAGATGGAATTTCAATGAGGCTTTCATTTGCGATTCTCTGATGGCATTAGCCACTTTAATACACATTTATTGGGTATCTGTACTTCTTTAGAGAGCTGCTTGTTCAGGTCATTGTGTAGTTTTCTTTCACCCTCCCCCGTGTGTCTAGTGTTTGCATTTCTTTATATCTTCTAGGCATATCTACTTGTAAACATGTATTATTTAGGAAGAGTGAAGAGTTTAGCTATTCAGCTCCTGCTGTCCTCTCATGAATTATGTATGAGCGCCTAATTACCCATTTTAGAATATATAAACAGAACATTTCTTTAGTACCAAGTTGAACATATAATCATCATTTTTATGTGCTGTATGGAACCAGTTTACATATTTTAATATCTTAATAGTTTTGAGAATTTCAAACATGAGTATGCTATATTTACCTCATTTCTACCCTTCATTCTCTTCTCTCCAACTTCTTCCGCACAGCCCCTCTCCCACACACATTCCCTTCCCAAGTTCATGACCTCTTTCATATGTACACAGGTTTAGAGTTCACCATGTAGGCTTGACAACATATTAGGGGGTTCACCCCTGAAGAAAACTTGGTTCTCCTTCCCTCTTCAGTCACCGACTGCCTGTAGGTCTTCATCTGGGCATGCACCTTGTGAACGTTCCCCTGGTTGGTACGTCCACTGGTATGGTCTTGTGTGGGTTTTATTGTTGGTAGTTCAAGGGTGCAGCTTGCATGTTTTGACCAGAGAAACCACCTCACAGCAGTCCTCCTGGTCCTCTGGCTCTTACAATCTTTCTATTTCCTCTCTCACAAAGCTTGTAATGCTCCCTGAGTCTTAGGGGTTGTTGAATGATACATATTTAAGGATAACAACTACTACTTTCCAGCAAATAATGCCAATAGTTCAAGAATCTCAAAACTCTATGCTTTTGCATTTTTCAGAATAAGAAAGTGTAGATATAGTTGAAAGATGTCTCCGTTTATTTTTCTCATTATTCAAAAATAATTTACCTACCTAAGTAAATTTATTTCTAAGTATGTCCTCTTTTTTATACTCATATAAATGGGATTTTTTTACTTTTCAGATTTTCCATTAATAGTGCACAGATACAAAACCATTTTTGTGATTTTTTTTATCTTTTCTAAAATCATTGAACTTACTAGGTGTGTGTGTGTGTGTGTGTGTGTGTGTGTGTGTGTGTGGAGAGAGAGAGAGAGAGACAGAGAGACAGAGAGAGACAGAGAGAAGGGAGAGATATCTTTGGGACTTTTATGTAACATTTTATCATTCTGAAGAGATAATTCAGCCTCCTTTTCTAATTTGAATATTTTTTTGTTTCTTTTTTTCCAGACTACTCCCCTCGTACTTTCAGCATGTTAAAAGGAAGTGTTGAGAGTGGACCTTCTTGTCCTGTCCCTCCTCTACAACACTCAGAGGAAAAGCTTCAAGTTTTCCCCCATAGACTCTGATACCAGCATGTGCTTTTCATATGCGGCCTGTCTTAGGTTGTGGAAATTTTCCTTCTGTTCTGGTACTCTACAAGGAGCCTGTGACTCACACCTGGCTTGGAAGTAGGCTAAAGAATTCCTTTTCAAAGCAGAAGATGTGCAATCAAACTACACATAAGCAACCTCATAAATAGTTGTTGAGCACCTGCTATGTTCTAGGTACTATTTGACACACTGGGTGCAGAGCAGTGAACAAAGTAGAGAACAGTTCCTGCCCTCAGGGAGCTTCCTCTCTAGATGGCGGAGCCATTGCTCCACAGTCCTGCTTTATAGCAGATTAGAACTCACTTGCACTCAAGGCTTTTCTCGTCTGTTTCCAAGAGCTCGTTTTTCTAGAGAGCACATGGTTTTAGAAGAGGAGGGCTGTGAACATCCTTAGTCATCAGAGAAATGCATATCAAAACAACGCTGAGATTCCATCTTATACCTGTAAGAATGGCCAAGATCAAAAACTCTGATGACAACTTATGCTGGAGAGGTTGTGGGGAAAATGGAACACATCTTCATTGCTGGTGGGAATGCAAGCTGGTACAGCCCCTTTGGATGTCAGTGTGGCGATTTCTCAGAAAATTAGGAAACAACCTTCTGCAAGACCCAGTAATAACCCTTTGGGGTATATATCCAAAGAATGCTCAATTGTGCCACAAGGACATGTGCTCAACTATGTTCATAGCAGCATTGTTTGTCATAGCCAGAACCTGGAAACAACCTAAATGCCCCTCCATCAAAGAATGGATAAAAAAGAATGTGGTACATTTACACAATGTAGTACTACACAGCAGAAAAAATAACGACAGCTTGAATTTTGCAGGAAAATGGATGGAGCTAGAAAACATTATTTTGAGTGAGGTAACCCAGATACAGAAAAACAATTATCACATGTACTCACTTATAAGTGGTTTTTAAACATTAAGCAAAGAAAGTCAGGCTACAAACCACAATCCCAGAGAACTTAGACAACAATATGGACACTAAGAGAGATTTACATAGATATAATCTACATGAGAAGTAGAAAGTATAAAAAGACAAGATCTCCTGAGTAAACTGGGAGCATAGGGACCTTGGGGGAGGATTGAAGGGGAAAGGGAGAGGCAGAGAGGGGAGCAGAGAAAAATGTAGAGCTCAATAAATGTCATGGAAAAAATTAAAAAAAAATAAAAATTAAAAAAAGAAGAGGAGGGCTGTAAAGCACTTTGTGTGCACAATTTTATTATGAACAAGATTGTTGTGGAATATTATCTTAATTGGGCAAAGATGTGTTATATTTGTTTATGCTGCATCTGTTTAAATATGTAAAGATGTGTTGGGTTTGTTTCACCTTGCTTGCCTAAGGCACCTTATTGTTCTAATAAAAAGCTGAATGGCCAATAGCTAGGCAGCATAAGGCTAGGTGGGGCTGTCAGGCAGAGAGAATAAACAGGAGGAGAAATCTAGGCTAAAAAGAACAAGAGAAGAAGAAGAGAATGAGGGAGAAAAAGAGGGCGACATCCTGGCCCAGTAAGGTAGCCACCAGCCAGTAGACATGGAGTAGAACCATGCAGAAAGGAAAGCAAAAAGTCCTGAGGCAAAATGTAGATGAAGAAAAACTGGTTAAGTTGTAAGAGTAGCCAAGAAATGAGCCTGAACTAGGTTGAGCCCTCATAACTAATACTATGTCTCTGTGTCATGATTTGGGAGCTGGTTGGCGGCCTAAAAAGAGAAAACAAAATCTTGATGTTCATTGCACCATCATATAAGAGGAATAAGCTCTTTGGAGCCCATTCCCTAAGGATGGACACCTTGCTCAGCATAGATACAGTGGAGAGGGCCTTAGTCCTGCCTCAAGTGATGCGGCAGACTTTGTTGACTTCCCATGGGAGGCCTTACCCTCTGTGAGGAGTGGATGGGGTGTGGGGTGGGGAGGAGAAGGTGGGAGGAGTGGCAGGACTGGAGGCAGAGGGAACTGGGATTGGCGTGTAAAATAAGACTGTTTTAAAAATAAAAAATAAGCCATTAAAGGCTGAAAAAACTCATAATTGAAAGTAAAATCATAGAGCGGAGATTATTTTATGGCCCTGTGAGATTCAAAATAACCTTCTGAGCCATTAGAAAATGTCACAGTCACTAACTATGTTTCTTTCATTTTTACAAATACTAGTTAGTAAAAACACCATTAGTTGTAAAAATTCTTTTATGTGGCATAAAATAAGTTTTTTTTAATAAAAAGAAACAAATTCTTAACCCTATGCTTATGAATTCATTTTTAAACTAGTTGTTACATGGCAGAGGAGATCGTGTCAAATCTCTCCAAGTGTCCCCACTTGTCTGAGGAAGTATAAGATTGGTTTGGTCAACTCAAAGTCATATAGAATCTCATAACACAATTCTCACTGTATTCAAATACATAGAGCTTAGGTCATAACTTCCTGAGCAAATGACTTAGACTCATGGGGTCATTAAATAAAAATGTCAGTAACTGTGCTGGTTATTTTTAATATTAGCTGAACACAAGTTGGAGAGGAGGGAACCTCAATAGAGAAAAATACTTCTATACATCAGCTGCGGGTCATTTTATTAGGGATTGATGGGGGAGGGCCCAGTCCATTGTGGGTGGTTTCATCCCTGGTCCAGTGGTCTTGGGTGTAAGAAAGGCTGAGCAAGCCCTAGGGAACAAGCCGGTAAGCAGTACTCCTCCGTGGCCTCTGCATCAGCTCCAAGTTTGTCCTACATAGGTTTCTGCCCTAACTTCCCTCAGTGATGGCCTGCGATGTCGAACTTTGAGCTGAAATAAACTTTCCTTCCCAATGTTGTATATGGACTTGGTGTTCCGTCTCAGCTCTAGAACTCATAACGGAGACAGCACCTCACTTTACAGGAGTTAAATGTGAAGATGAGGTTGTCTCTAGTAAGCGATGAAGGTCAGACTGAAAGGGAAACACAACCATGGAAAAAGAAACCAGCAGTTAGATCCAAAGGTAGTGGCTAGGTTTGACTCCAATTAGTACATCTATAAAGGTAGAACTTGAAATGTACTGGATTTGAAGAACTTCATGTATTACAACAAAAGCAAACTATTTTATCAATATCATAAGCCGCAACAGTCCTGTGTGTGACACCAGTTTTATCTGACACTTGTGTGAACTCTAGTTTCTGAACTGTGAGACAAAAAAAAAAGGCCATCTATCTATATTTAACAAACAACAGAGAAGTCATGTTTATGACTTGGTGACCTTACATGATTTTCGCTGTTTTGGAGGAGCCATGTACAAAAGTCTTCAATGGTGGTGAGACTCTTAGAGTTGTCAGAGCCCAGTATCTGATATGCACTAATACTCCTTATGAAATATATCTCAACAGCATCTGAAAAAACGAAGAGGATTATTTAAAGCAAATTTCAAGCTTTTGTAAATGTTCATTATCAGCTGCATCATCATGCTTAAAGTCTGTGTCTGCTCCTACCTCGGGTTTCACAAAACCCTTCAAAAGATCAAGACAGGATCAGATTGAATCAGACGTTAGGCTCATGATGAAACACACGTGTGGATTTCAAGTGGGGGGGAAGGGGCAACCATCCAAATAGCCCTGTTATCCAAAAGGCCCAAATAATTCTCATATTAGACACCCAGGGACATTAAAAGACTATGTCTTTAGTTAAAACTTAGTTTGTGTTTATATATAATTATGTGTATATACTAAAGATATATAATAACACAAGCGTATGTATGTATAGAGAAATATGATTTGGCAATTTTTACCGTTGAAAAATTTACTGTTATTGAGGAAATGTACTGTTTCTCCTATTTGGTACAATAGTGGCTATGGGTTTGTCATATATAGACTTATTATGTTCAACCATGTTCCTTCGATTCTTAGTTCTTATAGGCTTTTATCAGAAAGGAACATTGACTTTTTTAATTATTGATTTTTATTGAGCTCTACAATTTTCTCTGCTCCCCTCCCTACCTCTCCCCTCCCCTTCAACCCTCTCCCTACATCCCCATGCTCCCAGTTTACTCAGAAGATCTTGTCTTTTTCTACTTCCCATGTAGATTAGATCTATGTAAGTCTCTCTTATTGTCCTCATTGTTGTCTAAGTTCTCTGGGATTGTGATTTGTAGGCTGGTTTTCTTTGCTTTATGTTTAAAAACCACTTATGAGTGAGTACATGTGATAATTGTCTAACACTGGACTTTTTTGAAGGTTTTATTCTGCATTGGTTGAGATGATCATGTGATTTCTGTGTTCTATTTATACTGTATTTTATTTACCGTATAGCAGTTACATATCTTGATTAAACCTTTCTTCTCTGGACTCAAACTGACCTAATCTTAATGTATCCTTGAAGTAGATTTGCAATAATTCTACTGAAAATTTTTGTGTCTCTTTTCATCATGGAAATTGTAGTTTTCCTTTTGGTTGTTGTAAACTTATTTAGATTTGGGATCAGGATAATGCTGGCTTCATTCATGAACTTGGCAGTGTTCAAATGTTTCCATTTTCTGTAACAGTTGGGAAGCTTTGGAGTTAGTTACCAGCAGTGAATTCATCCAGTCCTGGGCTTTTCTTTGTTGGACACTTTTTATTATTGCTTCAATTTTTTATTGTGGAATTCCTAAGTAGTTTATAAGTCCACTTAATTTAATTTTGATAAGACATATGTGCCTAGGAATTTGTTCATTTCTTCTGGATTTTCTAGGGTTTTTGTTGCATTTTTGTTATTTTCTAATGTAGGCTTTCAAAGTATTTCCTAGGAATTATTTGAATTTCAGTGGACTCTGTACTAACTTTTTCCTTTTCATCTTCACTGCTATTAATCTGGGTCTCCTCTTTCTTTTGCGTAGTTTGATTAGGGGTTTTAAACTCTTGTTTGGTTTTCAAAGAACTAACCCTTTGATTGATTCTTTATATTGTTCATTTATGTCAATTTTATTAATTTCTGCTCTAATATATATTATTTCTTACCATCTACAGATTTTAGCTTGGATTGTTCTGGTTCTTATAAGACTTTGAAGCACAGCATTATATTATTTGAAAGCACTGAGGGTTTGTCTTTAATTAATTAATTGATTAACTAGAGACAGGGTCTCTCTACATAGTCCTGGATGTCCTAGAACTTACTATGTAGACCAGGCTGGCCTCAAAGTCAGTAAGATCCATCTGCCCCTGCTTCCTCCAGTGCTGATATTAAAAACACGTGCCACTCCACCTGGTCTCAGGTTTTAGATGTAAGGACCGTTGAGTACAAATGTTTCTCCTGAACCGGCCTTTGGTGCATGGCAAAGATTCTGGTAATTTGTAGTTTCACTTTTCATTTGATTCCAGAAATTGGTTTTAATTCTTTCCTGATATACTCAATGTTCACCCTCCATGTATTTTTGTTTTTCTTGCTATTGTTTCCTACTTTGGGTGAGATATGATCACATAGATCCAAGAAAGTATGGTGGGGCTTGACTTGTGGCCTAGAATGTGGTTTGTTTTTACAGAAGGTTAAATTGGTTGCTGCAAGGAATGTTTATTAGTATAGTTGTGGGTATCTGCTAGAGCCATTTGCTCTGTGGTGTAGTTTAACTGGTTATTCAAGACTCCAGTTGAAAAAAGCAAAAGCATTATCTTTAGTTCTCTCTCTTCTCTCTCTCTCTCTCTCTCTCTCTCTCTCTCTCTCTCTCTCTCTCTCTCTCTCTCTCTCTCTCTCTCTC